ACACACACACACACACACACACACACACACACACACACACACACACATTTCCATACATTCCTTGGCAATATTCCATTATCTACAGGCTTGTCAAAAAGATAACGGAAATCGATCGTGAATTAAAACGTCATGCTCAGAACAAGATGAGAGTACCAAAGAACACATTACCTGAACACCAAAGAAAATTATTAATAATACAATTATAATAAGAATAATGTTATATATAATAATAATCTTAATAAATAAATAAATAAATAAATAAATAAATACTTTTTTAATCGTCATTCTCGTTATCATCGTAATAAAAACAAAAAAAAAAAAAACAAACAAAAAAATTATAACAATGAAGGCACATTCCACTCTTTTATAGATTTTATTAAAAACTTTACGTTAACGAGAAAACTTTTTTAAAAAGATACACAGGAACGAAAAAAAAGCAAACTTTTACAAACAACGAAGAAATATGAAATTTGTATCAAGTTCAAGATGGCGTGCAAAGTATCTTTGAACTAAAGTGAATAAAAAAAGAAAGAAATAGAATAGTTGCGAACAAACATACAAGCAGAACGTAACTAACGTGCTATGCTATGAAAACAAGCTGCAACGTTATAATAGAACAAAATACCCGCAAACTTAGCGCACATTTACTTGTTTAGAAATCAGAAATATTAAAAAATTTCATATATATATATATATATATATATATTTATATTTATATATATATATATATATAAAGCAAAGAGTGCAAGTGTTTACTTTTATTCAAGTTATAGCAACTGATAAATGAGGAATAGAACAGAAGCCGAAGTAAATGAATTACATACACCAGTAAGCAGTAATAACAACAACAGCGGCCATCTACTCAGCATAACAAGTTAAAAAAGTTTTAGATTACATTACAAAAACTGACAAAATTGTGATGCGTCAGCATTTATAAAATTCAGAGACGCAACTATACATGCACAACTCCACCGCACCTTACGAACTCCATGAAAGGGCGTTGCTGACAAGCCAACAATTGCGCACACACACGCACACACACACATAACGTACCAAATTTCATTTGTTTCTCTTACTGACACGTGTAACTAAGTTTATATACATGTATGTATCCTCTTATAAATTACAAACTTTACAAAAAAATAAAAAAAAATAAAAATAATAATAATAATAATAATAATAATAAAAAAAAAGAAGCAACGTTTTGAACAACGGCTGATGATGAGTGCGGTCAATTGAGGAGCAACAACCGGATACAGAATACGGCAAAGAAAGTGTTTGGAAATGTGTTGCAATTAATGTCACATCAGTCGTCGTTCTTGTCGTCGTCATTGTCATTTTCTGATGTCATTGCTGAAATTTGTTGAAATTAAATACATTACCGTTACACTCCTGTTTCCATTCATACGTCATTCTTCTGTTCACTGTTATTCCTATCAGATACAGAAGCATTCATATGCTTCTTAAAATTCAAGACTCGACGCGAAACTGCACCATACATCCACAAAGATTAATAGGGCAACAAAAAAAAAAAAAATAAATAAAAAATCAAAAACAAAATATATAACAAAAATAAATAAATAAAAGAGGGACAAAGAGAATTAAACGACGAAGGAAATGTCTCTGGGACAATATTTTAGGCACTAACTAACTCCCTTGCATAAGTTTTGATTACCCTTCACAAATATTAAATTATTGGCAATGAGTTTCCGCTGGTTTCGATCTTGATATGAAGGCATGAAGGTATTAAGGTACTTGTACTTGTCAACTTTTCGAATATTGCGGATATGTAGATTAGGTTCACTTACGGCCGATAACACGACACAATTGTATCCATATTTCCATATTTCTATCGAAAATGAAAACGAAAAAAAAAAAAAAAAAATGGAATGAATTACTTTTGTTGCATGCAACAGATCGGGGAAATAATGAGGATTGCATAACATAGTCGAATACGGAGAGCGCACTTAGCGGAGAGCGGAACGATCTATTTTGAAGACTTTGAATTATCTTACTTTGCCGCATGACGTGTGGTTTCGTCGAAATTTTCTGATTTCACTTCGTAGGCCATCCATCCACAGTGTATTTCCCGCCGTTATATATGCAATAAAAAAAACTAATTTTTCTTCAGCGACAGACGGAAAACACTTGCACAATCTAATACATTGCTATATATTATTACATCATAGCAGTTGTAATAGTTCAGTAATGCCGAAGTAATGCTTGTTGTGGAAAATCCAAATGTGTCTTTCTACTGTACTGACTGACGTTGCTCTTGTGCAATTGCTTTTTATTTTTTTTTTTTGGTCTTTTTTTATCCCCTCTCCCTCTCCCTCCCCCTCCCCACTCTCGACTACCCACACCCCCTGTATATTGTTGTGTTCTTGGTGAGAACTAAGATTTGCGATATTCTTCATGCACAAGGATAATTTTTTCCTCCATACAAGATGTAATTCTTTTATATACGTATTGCATACACGATTACATAGATAGATGGATAGATATATAGATAGATAGATAGATAGATAGATACATTGAGAGAGTAATAAGTAGACAACAACGCTCAAGACCTCCTGTTTTGTATGCACGCTTTTGTGCACAAATACTCTGAGGGTATTTTGCTATATGGGGGATAATCTTTTTAGTTTAAGTTTTATTTCTTTTTAACTCATTCATAATTGTGGATAATGTATGATTATTTAAAAAGCTCTTTATTTTTCTTTCTCTCCTCATATTATTTCCCTCGCAAAAGGATATTTTTGGCACATAACCGATCTACACTTGGATACAATATATTCGACACAAGGGGATGTAATGAGAAGTAAGTACGAAATAAAAATCATTGAAACAATGAAATTTTGAGTGCACGTTAAAAATGTTAAGAACCTTAACGATAATTATGTGAAACAAATCAGATAAGCTAAACGATATACTTAAGCATAATTTCTATAAGAATTTAATGCGTTCCGCATTTACAATTTAATAAATGTTAGAATAATTTACAAATTTTTTTTTTTTTTTTTTTTACTTACCGTCTCAAGGTCGAATCGATGTCTTAATTTCAAAGCGTGACTTATGCTCAACTTAAACCACAAGTTAAGACTTTTGTTTTTTCATTTAATTACTTACACCAAAAGAAATATGTGATGCATGAGACTGGAAAAAGTATCTGCTTATGTTATACGCCGTCGGCTGTGTCATTTTCTTCGCGATGCGGCTAACATCGCAAAAAACTCACTTTTGCATTAAGTTTTCCGCATCCCATATCACTCATGTGGTAAGGTTATCTTACTTATTTAACATAGTGTAGAAGTAAGCAACAGCCAGAAGGACTTGAGACTTGGGACTGGGACTGGGACTCAACGAATCATTAATCGGTTTATGGACTATTTTTTGAATCGATTTAAGCATGTATGTCCGTCTGTCCTGCCTACACACATTTTGATGTTCAACCAACAGTTTATTGGGTCGAGTAATTTAGCATATTGACATGCTTTGATCCAAGAATTAAAGCAATGCACCAGGGATTGGAGTGGATGGGATCGTTTTTACTTGTGAATAAAAATGGGAATATTCTATTTTATAGCAACACGTTGTCGCACGCACGCTAATGATTTGACCTGCATAAATTTACTGTGGGAAGTTTTATCAATTTTTTGGACGCCTTCGCATAAGAAGCATTCTCACAAAAACTCAGCATTTATCGGGTAACTATGGTAAACTGTGGTAAACTAAGTAAAAAATTTCATTAGGCGAAATAATATGAGGTGTTCAAGAGAGTCGTACTTGCCCGACTCTAACTTGTTTATGTTGTTATTTAAGCTGTGAAATTCATCAACTGAGGTTAGAATTTGGATTGCGTGTACGCGAGCTTCTCCAGATTTTATCGTCCAATAGCGGACGCAGTCTGTTCGCTAAATAAAAAAAATTTATTTTTTTGATTAAATTAAAGGCCCAATATGAAGTTGTATTAAATGTCAATTTGACATAAGCAGATAATGTTCGACGTTGCGATATGTATAAGTGGCAACAATAATAAAAGATAAAATAACAGAATAGCCGGACAAGGTCCAGCATTAAATACCCTATCCCTCTTCGTCTAACGCAATTATTCATTCATTGTCGTGACAATATACCAAAAATTATATATTATTGCTAGGTAATCGCAGGGTTTTTTACGAATGGCCTCCTCTTGGGGAGAGAGAGAGAGCGCGCATAATATTTCAACTGTAGTGCAGTGTTACAGGGAAATAGTTCGTTCTTTGCGTACAAAGTTACAATGTCTGGCAGTACTCTTTATACCAGTTGCGGTACAAGGTGTGTTAAATTTATGCAGACGTACGCAACACGCAAGAGAACTTGAGATAAATAGATTCAGCATCACTTTCTAAATCGAGCTAAGATTGTCTGTGCTTCTATCTGTTTGTCTGTCCATCTATCAGTTTGTCTGCCCATCTATCCGTTGTCTGTATTGATGAACTACGGTATATTGAAGTTTCCTGGTCCAGAGACAAACACTGTTGGAAATGACTCGAGTCGGGCTGCTTCCTCAACTACTAGCCATTTGACTTGATCTTCATCTGAAAAGTTGTAATAAGAATAACTGTAGGGTGATGTAGGGTATATAAGGGCGAGCTGTGATCCACTATATTGTTCTTACTCGTTATGGAAGATCTCTATTTCGACATGCGTTCACATCAGCAAGGTTTTGCTAGCGTGCAGCGAAATCAATGTTTAGGTATTACAAAACGAATGACTAACTGAATACGTTCTTATTATTCGGTAGATTATAGAGAAACCTAAAAACTAATCTGATGCCACCACAAATAGGGTAAAGCACCCAACCACTAATCCGGATGATAATGTCTGCAACAACTTCTCCTCGTTCGCACTCAAGTGAAAATTAGTGCCCTATTTTTTGTGAAGGTTATTTGCTATACAGATGCTTGACATAAATACAATGAAAAACTTTTTTTACTCAGCAGTTGAACTGAAGAGTTTCAATGGAAGGGTTGAAAAGAATTATAGAATAATAAATTAAACAAACAGCTGGGCTATAAAGCTTGGACAGAAGTGCTGCTGGTTTAACTTGATTAAAGTAAAGATGCAATGCTTTCAAGGCAAGGAAGAAAATTGTGTGGACAATAAATAAAACAATAATTTTAGTTCTCTCGATATGGAATAGAGCCTTTGAAAAAGATACTCCCTTCAGTTGCATAGGCCAGGTAAAACGCTAATAATCGGTATTTTCTCCTTTTCCTTCCTTACGGATTTGGTTTTGTAGAAAATCAATTAGTTTTCATGGAATTTCAAATCATGAAATGTGCCATTTTCAGCCTGTACAGTATGCTACAGGTAGAATTAAAATAAGAGCTCAAAAGTCAATCGCTCAGTTTGTGTCTCTGTCCCAACCTTAATTAAGTTAATTACAAACGAATCATTGCCTAAGTTAGCCGTAGACATATCACACCGTAGAGCTAAGGCTATGATCTATGGAAGAAATCAGCCTAAATGTGGAATCTCCTGATTCCAAATTAACTTGTCTGTCTGTTGTCGAATGAGTCCATTCGCTCTCTCTGTCTGCTGGGCAACGCGAGCTATGGGCTCACATTAATGTGATATGAGAAAAGTTATAGGACAAGCTTGGTGATAACTTGGAAAAATGAACTGTGATCTATTAAGCACTTGGATTTTTTGCAATTCCTTTACTGTCATGACAACATGATGAAATCAATTTCCGAATTACGCTGAAATTCATTGCAGGGTGAACTCACGTCCCGCTTGCGGAATTTCGAAATCATGTCGAAACTCGAGTGAGACTCTCACTTTGCTTTTTCGTAGGACTTAGCTACGGATTATAATCGATTCGTCAATCGGAAGAATCAATCCGTCTCACGAAATATAAACATTCTTGTGTTGTATGTATGCGAATGTATGACCGCAAACATTGAGAAGTTCGCTTTAGTTCAAGTCGTAAAGACAAAAATTCCCCCGAAGATCGATAGTATAGTAAAAATTTAAATTTTCTTAATACCTGACTTAGGGTACATTTTGATGCGACACCGAATGTTTCATGTCACACGAATTAGACTGTAAATGTAATAATTTAATGTCATTCCTAAGGGGAACACGTAGGCACTTTTATCGCTCGTTCATTTGCTTTAAGATAATGAAGTTTACCTCTTAACTGCTTAGCAATTTTATTGGTAGACTTTAGCCAAATTTTCTTCGAAGGACAATGGTAAACATTTTCTATAGAAATTATACGTGATTTCTGAAATGCAATCAGTAAAATACACCCAATAGCTTAATTTCCTAATCTGTTGTAATGTTAGCCAGACAAAGCGGAAAAACGAGAAAAGAGGGAGAGAGCGCGCACACATATGTATATGCAAATAAAGAATTCATATAAAACAGTTTTTTATCTACGCTACTATCAAAAAAACGTTTGGTCATTATTTGCGTTTTTTTTTTTTTTTTTGTTTTATTTTTGTTTTTTTCTGCATTCTTTCTTTATATTTTCTTTTTTTCTTTACATGTTTTTTTCAGGTTGTTGGCACATCGAAAGACAAACACCCAGCTCATCCGCTCACTTACCGGGTCGTTATGGTGATTACCTCTGTGATAGTCCTTGGAGCCTAATTGAGTCTGCTGCCGAAGCAATGAAATCACGACAGGGTGATAATGTCGAGTTTGTCCTATGGACAGGGTAAGTATTAAATATAATAACCTGAGAACACACTTGAGATTTCTTGCCGGCAAACCAAACACTGAAGATGTGCGAGAACAATATCTACTATGGATTTCATACATAATTTACATATAAACATATATTAAATTTAATTTTATTTCAAATCGAAAATAAGTTACCCCATGAAAATCCCAAATCCAGTTTAAATGCGTGCATTTAAAAAAATGCTTCCGCCCCACCGCCTACTCAAAAAGAGTAGACAAAAAAAAGTAGTATATATGCATATATATAGAAAAAGCGAAAAGAAAAAACGGCCACAGTAACCGATATGAACGAAATTTTTGTTTAAGTTGTCCGTGAACATGACAAAATAGAAACAAAATAACTGCATTGCAGTTTCAAACGATTGAGAACTGTGTACACTTGGCCGCGTTTAAATTATACGAAAATTTTTTGTATGCGAAAATCCTGGCTGTGTACTTTCATGTACAAAGGACGTATAGTAAAATGAAAATAAGTAATAAAAGTGTAAAAAATAAACTTAATAAACTAAAAGGTATTGCGTCGCAAGGGTGGCCTAACACACACACACACACACACACACACACACACACAGAGAGAGAGAGAAAGCTTAAAAAACCCCGAAATTCTGCAAAAATGTAAAAGTAAAAAATTCATTCGTACAACCTATACAGGTTGTAATTTGCACGAGTTTATCAGCGCACACTATCGGATCGTCGCATACGTTAATTCTCGTTGCCATCAAATCTATATATTCAGAGGCTTTAATAGATTCCTTCCTTATCTTTTCGAAAATTAACTATAAACGGTCAATGGTGTAGAAGAGAAGGAGAAGTACACGCATAACACATAAACGGGCACTAAAATGTACCTCTGTCGTAACACGTTTACCATATCCAGTAAGCGATAAGTGAACAATTTTGTTTCCTACAATACAACAAACAACAAACTTAATTTTATCAATTTTCTTCTCATATTTGAGAACAACTTTCAAAAACCTCAACGTTATTAGGCATATTTGCTCATCTCTTATCCTATCCTATCTACCCTAAGCTCCGTCTATCAGTGCGATGAATAAGTCAGATGCCTGGTAAGGAAAAGGCAACTTTTTTCAGCAAGACAAGGTTTTTTTCAACATAGCTTTCGTTCGACTCCATACATCGAGTTCACGGATTTGAAAATTTCTTATGATCTTCAAACAAACAGCTGTTAGTATTCCCCTCGAGTTCCTTATTGGACACAAAACGCTTGGCAGATATCTCTGGAAGTTTGCAAAGAGGAAACAGTCGGTGAGGGAAGAATCTGGAGAAGACAAGAATTGCGTAAGCAAACAACAATTCATGCAATTCGTACGCCCATGTAATATTTGACGGATGAACTCTCTGTGTGGTATAGGATTTTTTCTCCCTTTTCTCCGGCCGTCTCTCTTTGATTTTTTTTTATTAACCCGGTACAATAACGTTATTGCGGTGCTTATCGCGGATGATTTCCAATATCGTTCGTAGCTACGTAACGACGATGAACCTTAGACAAGTTGGCCGCAGACATCTCTAACGAAAGAGGCAGTTCTTCTGCATGAAGCACTTTTGCAATTGAGTGCAGTATTAAGTGCAGACGAGTACAATATATCTACAGTAGCAATTAGGGCCGGCCAACATTATATTATATTAGCGATTTATTCGATTGTGCCCGATATTTTAGTCTGAGTTAAATGATCCGAACGACGTCCATCGCTTGTGCTTGCGAAAGCGTTTAAAACTCGTTATCCAGCTATTGAGGCGATTTCTCCATATTGTTTATGGAATCTCTTTGCTATCTAATCTAAATTTTTTTTTTAATGCCATTGTTGTTGTGGAAGGGAATTTGAAAAGTCTTCCTCTCTTCGACTTTAAAGATGATTGGTTTTGGTGGTGGCTCCTTCTGTCATCACGTGCTTTACTTACTAATCACATTAAAGCTTAATAGCGTAGATTCCTAAAATTAGCCCTACGTTGAATTCAAATCTTTACTGCATTACCAAACGCATCTCTGAGGTTTACCGTAAGTGAGAAAAAAAAAGTCCAAGAGAAAGGCGAATCATTCTATTTGTGTACGGAAGTAGGTTCTCCGAGACGCGTGGAGACAAATCAGAGAGGCAACCTTCGCCAGCAGTCGCAATGCAATTTAGCGTAGAACCCTTGAACTAGAAAATTTGCATCCACCACACCACAATTGGAATTTATCATATCGCTGATGTAGATCGTAAAGCGACGACAGTTTTGAATAATGCTACTACTGTTCTCGACAATATTGTCACTAATTTTTGAATCAATGATAGATAAAGCGCTCGTGTGTTTGTCGAATCATGACTCAGCGAGACATTCACTTATGTATGAAAATTGTTTATCTACGAACATCCTTGTGTCGCATATTTATACGCAGGTTGTCCACACACCGGACATCTGGACATCGATTATAAGTACAAATGTATCGGATTGTGCATTGACAAAGTGCAAGGGATAAGGTATATGTCCCTTCAAATCTCGCAATATGCTAAATGTAGCTAAAGCCTGTTGTCAAGTAATTCGGCGCTTTGGTTGCCTCTAGAAGCTTGACTGTCATTGCATTGTCCTGTTAGTTTGCTGTGGTCGCAGCATTCAGCATACAATTTGAATCGAGAATATTTCTAGTTTGTAGATTTGTGGGAGTCTCTGAAACCATGTTGCGTGTATTGCAAACCTTTTAACAAAGTGAATATGCCGGTAATATCTCGATTGAAGAAGAAAGAACGACAGAAGATAAAGGAAAATTTCCTAAACTCTAAGCAACACCTATAGGCAGAATTAATTTCAATATAAGCGATTATGGCTGTGTGTGTGTGTGTGTGTGTGTATGTGTGTGTGTGCGTGTGTGTGTGTGTGTGTGTTTGTGTAGTGTTGTTTTTTCTCTCGTTAACTTTAACGGAGATTTTCTTACATTTAGTTTTATTCTCTTCCCGTTACCCGGATAGACGGACATACCGGAGCTGCTATTTCATGCTTCGCAATGTCGGCAGATGCAAAATCTTTTCATTTGCATTTCAGTTTTGCACAATTGTTTCTCTTCTTCTTCTTCTTCTTCTTCTTCGTCTTCCTTTGAGATTTTCATTAAGCGTAAATTATAAACATAACGAAAACGGAAACTAACTTTTTTACTACTATTCCCTTCATCCCAAGATTGACAATTTCAACTTTTCTTCTCTTCTCCTCTTCTCCTCTTCTCCTCTCTTCTATTCTATGTACTTGAGTTTCTTTCTTTTTTTCTTTTTTTTTGTCTTTTTGTTTCTCCTTCTCTTTCTTTTTCGAAACCAAATGTTTATTTTATTATACAAAGCACTGTACAACTAAAGAAAGAAAAATGAAAGCAAATGAACTTCGAAATCGTAGCAAGTATTTGCTATAAAATGCCAACGTATTACAGTATAACTTACCGACACTCCCTTCATATGACCGGATCTCTAACACAAAAGTAGATTTTCCAAAATTGAAATAAAAAAACAAAAAAAAATTGTCCAGTGTTGTCCATTAAATGTGTATAAAAATGATTTCGATTTAATCAGATTGAAAGTGTATTTGCATTTAAATGTAAGAGAAATCCGGCATAAGACAAACATTAATCTTTTAATTATTTTACATGTAAGAAAACACGCAACCCCCCATCCATCCTCTCACTCGTACGTTGATATTTATATATAGATGTGTGTAGCCAGGCACGTTTAAAAACAGTAGCATTCATGCGTGCAAATATCTTTAGCTGTGATTGATTTCACTTGAATGTACAGGGAAATAAAATGAACAGCCAGCCATACGTACGCACGAACATGAAAAACTCTACCCTTATAACGGATGACATGATTATTTGCAAATTAGATTAATGCCATTAGTTAATGCATGCAAATCTGTTTGATACGAAACTAATACAATTGAATATTTGAATTTATCTCCCTTTCTCTCTCTCTCTGTGTGTGTGTGTGTGTGTGTGTGTGTGTGTGTATGTAATTGTGAGTATGTAAATTCACTTTAATTCAGTATCACTTTATTGTAAAATGTAATGCTGAGCAAACATATACACACATATTCATATATAACGTGCACATACATTTGTCTTTTTAATATAAATATTTCTGTATTTATAAACCTTATTGATTTTATATATATATATATATATATATATATATGTCTGACATATCTGACTTGAAAAAGTAAATCCACTTGAACTGCATTAAGTAATTTATTGACGCATTAATATTTTATGTTAATTGACTCCAAATATCAATAAGCGCTTTATATATGTATATATATGTATTTATTTTTTCGCTTTTTTTTTTTTTTTTTTTTTTTTTTTTTTTTTTTTTTTTTTTTTTTTAATTCCATTCATGTAGACCTGTAGATGAAAGGCATTGTGCGAAAAGTACAATGCAGTAGACTGGGGTATATATTAATATTCTTTCCGCGTATATGGCGTATTTAATATTGAGTTGATACTTAAATAAAGCAACGCTGAATCTGATTCCGATTCCAATTACGAACGTACATACATTATACAATTAATTGGTCCAGATTCGTAAAGCGTAGCGCGTAAAGCGTTTGTCTAATGTACGGGCATTAGAATAGAAAGTTTACGTTCTTGATCGATGCATAGATAGATATTTAAAACAATCTTATTAAACAATTATCGAGTATATATATATGTAACGCAATTTGTAATTCGTTTATTCGCATAGGTACCTGTTTATGGTTTACTGCAATAATTAGTAATCTAATGACTTTAGATAGTGAAATTGAAGCGAAAAGCCTTAAATCACAATTGCCATTAGCTATAGTTCTCCGTTTCGTATGTTTCGTTCGCTTTATGTAGACAAACTATATAGAAAATTAATAATTCAAATGTGAAATTTATGCATAGGCTATATACAATAAAGATTGAAGCCTCTCGCCCTCACTTTCACTCTGTGTCTCTCTGTTTACCGCAATCTATTATTATGTCTGCAATTATGCGTGTGTAGTGTATATATGGATTTCCTTTTCAATGCAATATTATTTTGTTAAAACGTTTTAATCTCATTTTTACTAACACAAACTTCTGCCTAATAAGATTTTACCGGATGTAAGCGGAAAAATTCACTTTGCTTTCAAGTAAATTGATTTCAAAATGTATCTGCCACAAACACAAAAAAAAAACACACACACACACACACACACACACACATACACACACACACAAAACACACAATCGTACACATTCGTATGCACAGAGAGGAGAATAGAAATGCTTTCTAATCGTTTTAAATTTTTATAAATAAAACCTTATTTAGGTGGTCGTAATAATTGAATTTAATCCGATCGAATAGCATGATACGGGTATAAGGGAAAGCGACGCCAAGAAATTTATATCCTTTTAATGTATTTAATTAATTAAAAACGGAATTTCATACGCTAGAGTATATATATATACGCGCTCGCGGATCGCTCGGTCCCAATGAACATATTCTTGTTTGATTCTCTCTCTCTCTTTCTCTCTCTTTTTTTTTTTTTTTTTTTTTTTTGTTTATATTATTATTATTATTATTATTATTTTATTTTTTCTTCTTAATTTTCTCATTTTCCTTTCAATTTCTTTCATTTTTCTTTTATTAACTAACGCATTGTGCATAGGGATGGTCTGTCGCATTCGGCACATCCAATGTCTGAATTGAAAAAACTGGAAATCTTGCGCAACATTACCGATTTGTTAGGAAGAACGTTTTCATCACAATTTGTATTTCCGGTATTGGGACATGAAGATGGCACAACAACGAATTTCCGGCATATGGGCGAATTGTGGCGTCATTGGCTGCCGACCGAAGCGTTGTATACATTTGAAAAAGGTAAATGATGTTTTAGATAAGGCTATATGTACATAACTATGCGTGCGTATATTCATGTATATGTGTTTATATAGAAATTGGTGTGGTACGTAAGCCACACCAATTTTTGATTCACTTTTTGAAAATTATTGCCACGAAAACTAACCAAACAATCTAGAAACACCTTCGTAATTGTAATATGCATCCATGTGAGCATATTTATAACAGCGGTTTGCGGAACTTGTAGGGGAGGAGATTGGGGGGTGGTTTTTTTTTTCCCCTTTTTCTCTTTGTTTCCGCATATTTTGTAGCAAAAGTAAATAAACGCATCACCCTAATAGAAGTCGAATAGTGTGTGTATGTTAACAAATGACTATTGCTCAAGTAGATAGCAGCAACAAATGTGTCGTGTATGTACGCTTGGAATAGCAATCCTGTTGTTGTCATTGCAATCGCATCCTTGTTCATGTATTAAAGTTTGTATGTCTGCTCTGTTCTCAAAAGATGTGCAATTGCGTATAGACGGAAATTGATTTTCGTACATTTAGATGGACAAAAGTTGAGATAAGTTGATATCAACCTTTTCAATGTTGTTAACAAATATGTGGTGAAATGGAAAAAAAAAAAAAAAATAACAAAAAAAATACGAAAAGGAAACAATCTGCGAAAGGTACTAGATTTTGGCTTTTCAATTCCTAAGCAGAGTTTATTTTCGATTTCTAACTTAAAACCAATGCTTATGTATAACTTTTCCATCAAATTTACCTTAAGGACGTTAGAAAGAAAGCCTTTTCATTTATGTGTCTATTCAATGAAATGGAATTAAATTTGTCAAAAGACTTATATGTAAATATGTAAAATTGTCTGCCCCCTAATGTTGTCTGTGATATTAAATGATGTTTAGATGGGGTACTTGAAGTGTCGCTAAATTTGTTGACTCACTCGATTTAAATGAGTAAGTAATGAGCTTAGGGCAAATTCATTGCTTTATCATGCGGATATCCAGTTAAAGGGAAAAAGGAATTGTAATCGGGCATCAAGAAGAATGTAATTTATTCTACGTTATTAGGACGAAGTAAACGGCTTAGAAGACACGCAAAAGCACCCAAATCCCTACCATCACATTCAAGCCAAAAAGATCAGTCTACAAACAATAATGTGGTCGAGTCAGCAACATCATAGCGGTGAAGTATGATCCGCACATTTTACAAACCGTACGAAACTGTCGCTCGGTACGCTTGAAGCTCGTTGCAACAGTTGGAAATGTCGCGAAATTCTGGCTGAAAGATCCCTATATGGCCTATGTTATGCAAATTTGCACTTTAAAGAATTTTAAAGATTTGATTTACAAATCAAAGAGAATTTTATTAACTTACTAAGCAATTAATTCAGTCGAAGTGTTAGAAACGCACGCACACCCACATAGCGAAATAACGACATTTTGCCTTGTATCACTTTTAATAAACATTGACTCATATATTTATTTTCATGTACACTCGTGTACACTCATAACATATAAATAAATTGGTTCTCTTTCAACTCAAAATTGCAAATTCCAAGTATACCGCAAGTATCGTATCGTATATACATAGATACATAGATACATAGATAGATAGATAGATAGATGCATTTTTATGTATTTGTTTGGATGATATTCTTTTATTGTTTCTACTTGTTCTACTTGCCTTCGTACAGGTGGTTATTATTCCATTGAACAAACTAAGAGCCGTCTCCGCATAATAGCATTGAATACAAATTTCATGAGACACGATCCCAAATATTCACAAAGTCATTTGGCAGCAGTCAGACAGCGCATGCCAACGAATGGCGGTCCTGGCGTTGGTGGGGGTGCGGGTGCCGGAGCTGCCGAATCAACAGAATATAAAAATTATTATTATCATCATGGCAATCTGCATCAGCATCATGGACATGCCAGCGATTGGACATCGCCTCACAGCTACGGCTATAATGGCCATCATAGAGGCATAAGTGTTATGCCTGGCGGTGGTATCAGTATCGGCATGGGTAGCATTGTGGACGGTGCTCGTGTAAGCGCCCTGTCCGAATATGAAAATCAAGATACTGAAAAACAATGGCTTTGGCTCGAAGATGTTTTATCCAAATCGAAAATCAGCAAAGAAACGGTAAGTGAATCGAGAACATTGTATATACATACGTTTAGTTTATCATCTATTTTCTTCTCCTTTTCTTTTTTTTTTGTTGAATCCTTTTCTGCAACAACTATTAATTTTAATTAATGGCGCGCATATAAACATTATTTTAAAAAATTCATATCAATTGTCCTTTGTCTTGAGAACGAATATCATCATCGTTAAGTATTTCTTTTCCTTTATTCACTTTTATTCTGCTTCTAATGTCGCTTAGAAGATATACGAATGAAATCTGAATAAATTGTAAGAGAAGTTTTGGTTCTTACGCAGCCAAAGACATTAATATACAAATCAAATTTCAAGAAATTTTTATATTACATAACTACTACAAGGGTAACAGGTATATACAGGATCAAGGATGAAGGTCGAGGCGTTTTCTTTAAGAGATGACTTCACTTCATTGCATAGCTTTGCTAAAACTAACCCTATCAAGTTGTACTCTTGTATGCACTAAGGGTGTGTAGTACATGAGGAACAATTATTTATGTTATTTGTTGAGACTAAGTGGACTAAGCCAAGTCCGCCTGAGTAGCTGGATAGGTAAGAACCCCAACCACCAAATCAGTGTGCGTGGATTCAAATCTCAAGTGCGTTAAAGTGAGCGCTTAGTGAGTGCTTAGTAAAAGACGTAACACTTATCGATTGGATTACGGCCACCATTTCCCAATTATTATTTTATTTTTTTTTTTGTATCCATCACCGGAGGACGAGGTTTTTTGTCGTTTTGCCGAAACGTTTACATCGCCGAGAAAGACGCTTCGGACATATGTACTCTTGATGACCATCAAAGACTGAACCGATTTAAGGATGTTCGTTCGGTGGGGTTGTCCGTTCGTCCGTCTGTATAATGTCTGTTGTAAACATTCTCCTGGCCGCAAAAATGAACCTATCGACATCAAATTTAGAAATTCTTGTGCGCAGATTCGAAAGATAGTAACGCGTGTCACTAGACATAGACAGCATTCAATCAATCGGCACAGCGTCTTGTATATATTTTAAATTGTAAAGGTTACCTTGATTTGAAAATGCAGTGACTACCAGAAAATCTTTGGAGACAGAGATAGAGGAAAAGTGTTTTCACAATGAAGAGGAGTTATTGAGTGTTGAACAATTGCACACTAATGTCAAATATAATAAAAATACATTTCGAACGTTTGAAATGCTATTTTTCAAAACAAAAGCTCGCCGGAATTTTTCCTATATTCCTTTGGAATTTCTTACAATATCTTCGAAATAAGGCAAGAGTAAGACGCACATAATTTCCGATAATTTAAACTTTTTTATTCACAAATAATGAAGAAGAAATGCTTTTGGTGATGTAATGCTACTGGTGATGTAAGGGTGTATTAAGTTTGTGTGGATGTATACAGCATATAATATTCTAAACATCGTTTTACTTACATGGAAACGCCTTCAAATATACATAATTGATTTCTTTCTATCAGGTCACAATAACATAAACATAATCAATTTTTTTCTATCAACTTTGGAAAACTTTCCATCACGCAAGAATATTTTGGAAAACCTGCGTGCCGAATGTCCGCCAGTAAGACTTGCATGTTCGACCTGAAAATGTTTCCCATCGGTTCGCCAATACGCTTACAACTCCAAATAATTGAACTGAATTGCAATTGCATGAAGAACATGCTAACGTTCGCTTATGGCCGATTGTGTACATGTTAGTACACCAATCGGTCCCATTTTTGAATACAACATGAAAGTAATCGAAGTTCACCTCATAGGATCGAAAAAATTCCATAGGAAAATATGAGAAAATTGTCAGTGTTCTCTGCATGTTGTCCCATTTTCTACTCTCTCGTAGTCGTATATATGGACAAATCACAATCAGTTTTTAGCCGCGACTTACTAATCGATCAAGTAACGTTTGCGTCAAATTTCACCTTCTCATCTCCATTTTTGGCGCGGCGATAATTTCACGAAAAGGGGAACGCGTTGTTTCAGTTATGTCCCATTAATCGAATATGTTTGAAAGAGTGTTTGTTTATTGGCAGCAGTACTTTTGTTGCATAATTGACACATTGACACATTGACAAACACATGGACAAACATTTCAGCTGAGTTGAAAATTCTATGCTGTGATATCATTTAAAGAGAGCACAAATCAAGCCAGTAAAGGCTCCACAACTTTAACTATGTCTTACGTTTCACTTGAGCAGAAACTCTAATTATTTATCTTTACTTTTGTTGAACGTTGAAAGTAAACAATCTCTTCAAACAATAAAAATAATAATAATAAAAGAATTGTTAATTTTTCCCTTTTTCGTAAGTTTTCCTAATAGAGAAAGCACAATATTGTTGTTTTATCCAAAAAAAAAAAAAAAAAAAAAGAAAAGAAAAGAAAGAAAAAATTGCTCTTAAGTATAAGTCGCGTTTAATTTCTTTGTCTTTCACACTTTCATTTAAAAGGAAATGATTTTTTAACTTTTATTGCGAAACAAAACGAGAAATCTTAAGACAGAGAGAGAGAGAGAGAGAGAGAGAGAGAGAGAAAAAACACAATAAAAAAAAAATAGATACAGAAATTTCTCAAAAAATGCTACACACAAACTATCAAAAATAAAAAACAATTACTTTTTCTTTTTTTTTTTTTTTTTTTTTTTATTTTCTGTCTTCTTTTTTTTTTTTTTTTTTTTGGTTTTTGTTCTCTGTTTCGGTAAAGGTCGTTACAAAACTCTGGTCGAATTTCAGTTGCATAATACGTGCATCCATATGTCTAGGAATGGAGCATCAAATTAAAAGTATTTCTTGGAGTTTCATTCTTCACGGTCCTGTAAACAGATGAGTTTAATATACTTCTCATATTGTTGTTTGTTTCCAAAGGAAGGCTAACGAAAACGTAAGAAAACGAAACAAAAATAATCTTTAATTTCCCCATTTTTTTTTGTTCGCGTAAATAAGTGTAAGAGACGCAGAGTTTAAAAGCAGAGACGCTTAAATAAACTTTTAATTTCTTGCACTCTTCAGTTTTCTTTTTTCTTTCTTCACCAACAAAAACATTAGAACAAAAACAAAAATAGTAAAGGAAGTCGGAAGTTATGCTTGGCATTGAGTGAATTTTTCGCACCCGCTACTAGCGTGCATTGCAACGAGAAAAGTTTCGCATAGCTTATATTTGTATATATACATATACACGTAAACACATGCATACACAGATATATATATTAACAGCTTATACAAAAGTATCGTGTGGCTTAATTTCTGCCAATTTTCGAGAATTATATAAATCCAGTCTCGTGTTCAAAACACCATCATGTGTGTTGTGTGCTTTAGTTTCTCTCTTCTTAAATTGACGCGAATTACAGAGGACACACAATACAATATCCAAGCCGCTCTCAATTTCGGGCATCAAGATGATATAGTGCATTATCAGCTGCAACCTTGTCCATTGCCAGTCGAGTCGAGCCATCAATAAAGAGCACAATCACTTTAAACTTATGCAATTGAATTGATCAATTATTGATCGCATTATGCGAACAATATTATAATTTAATTTCTCGTCCTGCTCTCGCAAACCTTAGCAACACTGAAGAGCGATGTGTTACATACACTGCTTCTTCTTTTGGTTTATCATTTGTTTCAATCGATAACATCGTCTACCTGGTCAACGTTTGTTATTTTCTTGAGAATATCCGAAATAGTGTTTCCTTGAAAGCATCCTGAGGCGATCAACTCTCGATTCTGACCTAAACTTAAAATCCTTTCAATCCATTTCTCGAATAAAAATTGACTTATACTACTGTTATTATTTGCTGGAAACGAAGTCATACATTTCCTATCTATGTATCTACGTAACTGTTTCGATGCTCGTATTCAATAATGAATAAATTCTACCAGAAATTTGATACAATTCGTGAAACATCTTACCAAGTACATGGTACTTGGTACCGCAATCACAACGATTGGTATAAGCGGAGATTTATAAGATTTTGCAAATGGCTTCCATCCGTAGAGAAATTCGTGGCACCCTACAAACATTTTATCCAGCTTGAATAGTGTAATGGATTTATTAATTTCCATTTATCGTTCAGCGCGATAACTTAATTTTATTGCATTACAAAAAACACAATTTACATAACCCACTTTTTTGGAGTCTATGTCACTAACTCGATTCCCTCTCTTCACATTAATTATTATTGTTGTTATAATTAATTTGGCCAAAAAAATAAATTTTTAATTTTTTTTTATTCAAAATTCTATTGAACTTGCCCAGCCTTCATATATTCCGCAATTAAGAAGAAGAAGAAGAAAATTTCATTATGTGAAGCTCTACTAATGTCCTGCACGTTACGCTTTTTGCACATGCAAGTAAACTTTAATAGTGGGATACGACCCACCATTAAATACTTTACACCCTACACCCTACAGTTCGTACATATATCGACTTTTCGAAATAAAGCGTTATATGGGAAGTTGTCGAAAATATGCTTCGATCCCAAGCATTTTCAATGGAGTTCGTCCATGGGTCGAAACACGCGATGAAAGTATTTCAAAAATGGCGGCGTTTAGGTTCGATACAAGAAAATAAGAAAGCCACACGGACAGATGAACTTATGATTGATGAGCTAATGCTGAACAGATCGGTATAATGAAAGGTTGGTCTATTCTACTCATTTCTTCTCCTTCCGAAAACAGAAGCTTTTTCAGCTTGTGGAAGGGCACACGGAAATCAAGGCAGAAGCCGCTCGAAGTCTTATACACTTCACAGGGTTCTTCTGGGTGCTGCAAACTTTCCCATCCTTCAGTAGTGGGTATGACCATATGTGTTTTACTAATCTCCACTTAGGAGGTTTATACATTGATATAACTTTATGAGATGGTCATGGGCAAATCTCTTTGAAGTTCGTATTCGTTAAAAAACCGTTCGTTCCTTGAAACCATTTTGCTTTGTAACTTTAGCTTTCGCAGAAATTAATAGAGAAAACTCATTTTTTATATATGATAGTATGTATCAA